GCCGTAAGGCCTTCGCAATATTGACGCCCACTTCTGGCCAATTAATCAGTGGTGCTTACGCGCATCGTTTGCGTACCGTGTGTCAGCTCCATGCGGCCGAGTGTGCTTCTGTTATGGTTGTGTGTTCCAACGGGGCACCGCCTGCGGCTGCTTCCGTGGACGGCTGACCCGTCGTCCGAGGGGTACCTCCTGTTTGGGTGGTGTATGGTCATGCGATTTCTCCCCGTCGCTCGGGCGCCCATTCCCTGTGCTTTTTTCGGTTTCGTGCGTAGTTCTTTCGCAGGATGATCCAGGATGCTCCTTCATAATCCCCGCCGAAGAAAAGTGCACACGTCCGAGCGATACCAAGATTTTGGGGGGTTCAGCTCCTAATCCAGGTGGCGGTGCTTCACCTTAAAGGGGCATGCTTCTGGCCTCGGGAGTGGCAAAACGCTGCAAAACGTTTCTCCACAAGACGGATCGGGGACCAAGGAGGAGAAGGAGCAGGCGGAGAAGGAGGAGGAGGAGGAAGAAGACGAGGAGCAGCAGGAAGCAGGATTGAAGGCCTCCTGGTGTCATATGCCGTTTGCTGACCTCACGACACCTGTGGAGGCATCCAGAGGCTTACAGGGATCTCCGGACATCATCCCTCCCTCTTCATTTCTCCCGTCTCCCTTCCCATCCCTGCTCATTCTCACCCAGTGTCCTTCTGCTCCTCCTTTTCCTCATCCTTCTTCTACTCTTCCTCCTCTTCCTTGTTCTCCTTACGCATCCCCCCGCACGCCTTCCCTACTCCTTTTCCCCGATCCTCCGCAGTGCCTCCCAGGAGCCCACGCAAGCGACGACAATTGTCACTTGGATCTGTGCTGTCCTCACCTCCGCCGTGCCAGGAGCCCACGAAAGAGGTCTCACCTGGATCCGCGCTGCTCTCACATCCGCCGTGCCTCCGAGGAGCTCTCGAAAGTGACGACAGCTGTGCAGTTCGCAGCCCCCGACGGAGCCGCGATGTCTCGCCTTGATCTGCTGCCATCACCTCCGCCGTGCCTCCCAAGAGCCCACAGAAGTGACGACAGCCGCGCTGTTCGCAGCCCTCGACGGGGCCGCAAGGTCTCGGCGCTGCCTTCACCTCCGCCGTGCCCCCCCAAGAGCCCACGAAAGTGGCAATGGTTGTGCAGTTCGGAGCCCCAAAGGAGCCCCGAGGTCTCGCCTTGATCTTGGCTGCCCTCACCTCCGCCGCGACAGCTGCGCAGTCCGCAGCCCCCGAGGGAGCGCACAAGGTGCAGAAGAAGGTAGGCGGAGGACTAGGCAGGAGGCGGGGAGGCGGGGGAGCGGGGAGACGCTCGAGCAGTGGTATCCAAAATGGGAACCCAAACCGCAGGAGGGTTGGGAACAATCGACATCCCTGGGCCACGCCCCTGGGATGGCCGCCGACCTCCCTCCTCCCTCCTCGCCTCGAAGCTGGCCTGGCACACCAGGGAAGCCCCGACATCCGTCGGGTCAGAGAGGGGACAAGAAGCTGCTGACCGCAGCGGTGACCCCCCCGCCCATCTGGCGAGGGGCGGAGGAGAAGGAAGGAAGGGGAGGGGGGAGGGGAGCAGCTGGGGGGGGGGGGGGCAGGAGAGATAGGGAGGGGGGGCGAGGGGGGGAGGAAGGAAGAGAAGGCTGCCCTCTGGCCCCAGTCCATTGTCTTGTTTTTTTCTCCGCACGCGCCTCCAGCCCACGACGCTGTCACGCGCGGTGCCCCGCGTACACGCGAGCATTCGAGCGGGCTCGCTCGAGCGGAACGCGGCCCCCGAGGGCAAACGGATGGCCATCGCTCGGACGTCCATTCCCTGTGCGTTCTTCGGTTTCGTGAGTGTTTTTTCGCCAAGTGATCAAGGATGCTCCTCGATGGTCCTCGCCGAGGGAAAAATGCACACGTCCGAGCGATGCCAAGAACGGATGGGGAAAGCCCCGCCCAGTTCTGCATCGGCCATACAGAACGGGTAGCACTACCCCCCACCCCCCGCACGCCCCCTCTGGCCACTGTCCTGTCCACGATCAGAAACCGGGAGCTGCCAGGTGGGTCCCGCGTGCAGGCTCTGGTTAGTTGAGGACCCTGCCTCGATCCTGTACACCCCGCCCCCCATGGAGCCGACATTTCGACATCTCGAGACGCCCAACTCGCACATGTCAGGACAACACTGGGGGCGACCACCGTACACTTCGGGCTCACATATGCGACCAGTGATCGGTGATCGAAATGCACACTACCTTCTGCTCGAACCAGACATTCGATAGATGGACTTTTTCCATCCGCAGTGCCCAGAGGTCTCGACCTCTTTCCCGGGCGTAGTTTTTCGCCACATCATTTTCTGACTGTCCTGAAGCCCGAGAGTGGCGCCAGGGTGCCGAATGCAAGAAACAACGCAATGAGTGGACAAACCAATCCGCCCGTGGTCTGGGGAGTGCACAAATGTGCAGGCGCCTCAGAACGTGCGCTCACGCCGGCGTGTGCTTGTCCACTGAGGGCCTCCATCACGACGCAGGCGGTGCAGTGAGGGCAGGAGCAGGCGGCGTGCTGTCGGCGGAGCTGATGCGGGCAAACACACACACATTGGGCTACCACACGTCCTGAGGCTCATCGACCTCTGTCGACTGTTTGCCCTGGCACGGGCCTTGAACTCTGGCGCACGGTGGTCCGCAGGGACGGGCGGTGCGCCCGGGGCGGCAGACACGCCGCCCCAGTCGCCGACGATGTACACGTGGTGCTCGCCCGGGTCCATGAAGCAGGCGTCCGGCACCTGAGCGACGGAAAGACGGGGTCTCACGCGAGAGGGCATGGCGGCCTCACGCCGCGGCTGGCGCGGGCCGCCAGCGCAGCACGGCACACCAGAAACGAGGCCGTTCGTCGACGACGGATCTACCAGCGCTGACGATGAGCATCTTCTCCTAGATCCTAGGACCTGCATCCCAAGCAAGGGAAGCAGAAGCGGCACCCTTGCGAGGCAGGAGAATCCCGCCCTTGCTAGCCTGACACGACTTCTATCGAGGAGTCTGGCATTCTGCACTTCCTTGGGGCAGGGGGCCGCACTGTGAAGGACGCCCGGCGTTTACGTCGTCTTCCGACCCGCCAGCAGCTGGTCACAACAGCCCTAGAGGAGACTCGTCCCCCTGCTCCGCCTCCTTCTCATCCTGCTGGCCCTGCTCCGTCTCCTTATCTTCCATGCCCCGTCTTCCTTCTTAGAGCCTCTTTTTCTGTCCTTCTTCACTTTTTTCTTTTTGCCTTCGTCCCCCCTTTCTGCGTGCCTTTCTCCTACTTTCTTTTGCCCTCCTCCCTCGAACACCATCCATCCCACTTCCCAAGGCCAACGCTTGTTTGATTGTCTAACTATTCGGGCCTCTGGAAAAGATGTCGGGCCCCTGCCTGCCATGCTGGTGGTCCGTCATGGGGTGCTTTCGTCGGTGGCCTCCAGGGGCCCCGAGAGGGGGGGCGGCCTCTGGGAATCGAATCTGAAAACAAACTCGCCGTCGTGATTTCATCGAGACGTCAAGAGGACGGGGCCTCCCCCTCCTGGATTGGACCCCGGTGGCATCGGAATCCCTCAAGGACGCTGCCCCCACTCCGTAGCGGCCGTTGACAAGTGAGAGACGGTGGATGAAGAGGAACAACACGCGGGAGGCCCTGCACCTGGAAATAGGAACAGAAACGGGACCCCCCATGGGGGCGGGATAGGCCCCTGCGGCGCGTTGAGGGGGGGGGGCGCGGAAGGAGCGACATCTGAAGAGGACTTGTCCTCCCCCTCCTCGTCCCCCTCATCCTCGTGCCTGGGCCCCGGACCTCCACGGACTCCCGCCCGACCTCCCCCCCCGCCCACACGCTCGCGCACGGTTCCCCTTCCAGTCGCACGCAGCTGGGAGAAAAAGCCACGCGAGCGCTCAAAGTCGCACGCCATCGACCTCCCGACGAAGCAAACGCTGGGCTAAACGCGCGCGCACACATACAGACACACACACACACTTTTTTCCCCGACGCGCTGACAACGGCAGTCAATGGGTAGAACAACTGTGGAGCAGACGAAAACGCAAATGCTGGAAGCACACGTTTTTCTCCAGCTGCGCTACGCTGGGACACGCTTCGGCGAATTTCCACCTGGCATAGCAGATGGGTGAGTTGGATGATGCTGGAGGTACACGCGCACGCTTAATCGCAGACGTGTCTGAATCAGGAGGGCCGCGAAGGCTGAACCGTAGTCAAATGACTGCCGGGCGCGCCTAGGCACAATCTTTACAGCCGCTGACCCCTATGTCCCAAAAGCTTCATCCTCAAGCCGCACCATCGACGCTCGAGCCAACTCAGAAATCACTTGCAATAAGAACGCGCGGACACGAGGTACCATGCAGCGCGCGCTGCGGATCCATGTGAGCTGCACGTCAACCAAACGAGGAACGACCAACATAACACCATATTGAACTGCATTGCCACAGCACGAAGCCGTGCAAAAACACACGCACAACACCATACACATATACACATGCTTCGGAATCAGAAGCGCCGTGCTCAATGATCCGTGCTCCCTCTGCACTTGCAAGACGCAACGATCCAGTACATGCTACCGACGCAGACAAGGTCCTCGTGCTGATAATGAGTGGCACATCCACACCTCAGTCAACATGGAGTCCTCGAGATCAAATATGATAAATCATCCTGACTTGCCTCACTGGGACTCTCCGTCCTGGGACGTCCTGGGACTCTCCGTGGGGCCTTTTGGGTCGTCTTGGAGGCTCGGCGGGGTGGCGAAAGAGACCAACATAGCTGAAACACGTTCCGCATTTCGGCTGGAATTCGACTGTTTGTTCCCAACCTTCCTGCGGTGTAGGGTCCTTGTTTTGAAGAGACGGTCCCCGCGTTCCTCCTCCCTCCTTCGTTCGTCCCCCTCCTCCTCCTCCTCACTCCTCCTTCCTCCCTGCGTTTCACCCACCCAGTGCACCGTTTCGTGGCCCCCCAAGGGAGCTCCACCGAAGGCGCCAGTGGCAGGGTTCGCATGCCAGCCTCGGGCCATGTCGGCACACTCCTCACGAGGATCGTGGCCCCATAAGGAGCTCCACCGAAGGCGCTAGTGGCAGGCTCCTCTTGGCGGCCTCGGGCCATTTCGGCACACCCCTCACAAGGATCGTAGCCCCATAGGACACTCCACCGAATGCGCCAGTGGCAGGCTCCTCTTGGCGGCCTCGGGCCATTCTGGCGCATCCCTCACAAGAACCGTGGCCCCATAGGAGCTCCACCGAAGGCGCCAGTGGCAGGCTCCTCTTGGCGGCCTCGGGCCATTTCGGCACACCCCTCACGAGGATCGTGGCCCCATAAGGAGCTCCACCGAAGGCGCCAGTGGCAGGCTCCTCTTGGCGGCCTCGGGCCATTCTGGCGCTCCCCTCACGAGGATCGTGGCCCCATAGGAGCTCCACCGAAGGCGCCAGAAGCAAGGTTCGGACCATTTCGGCACACCCCTCACGAGGATCGTGGCCCCGTAGAGAACTCCACCGAATGCCCCAGTTGCAGGGTTCGCATGGCGGACTCGGGCAATTTCGGCACACTCCTCACGAGGATCGTGGCGCCATAAGGAACTCTATCGGAGGCGCCAGTGGCAGGGTTCGCATGGCGGCCTCGGGCCATGCCGGCATACCCCTCACGAGGATCGTGGCCCCATGGGAGCACCACCGAAGGCGCTAGTAGCAAGATTCGCATGGTGGCCTCGGGCCATTTCGGCACACCCCTCACGAGGATCGTGGCTCCATAGGAGCTCCACCAAATGCGCCAGTGGCAGGGTTCGCATGGCGGCCTCGGGCCATTTCGGTACACCCCTCACGAGGATCGTGGCCCCGTTGGGAACTCCGCCGAGGGTGCCAGTGCATGGCGGCCTCGGACCATTTCGGCACACCCCTCACGAAGATCGTGGCCCCATAGGGAGCACCAACGAGGGCGCCAATGCTAAGGTTCGTATAGCGGCCCCGCCCCATTTCGGCACACCCCTCACACGGTTCGTGGCCCCCTAGTGTGCTTCACCGAAACCGGTACCCACCAAGCGGCACCCGCAACTGCAAATGGTTGGATCCTTCGTCAGGCTAATATTTGCGTCGTGGTTCTTGCTCTTTGTTTCAGCTTGTTTTACAGGCCCTCACGACACGTCCTAGAGCGCCCCCAAGGCGCCCAACAGGAGCCCAAGAGGCCTCCAAGAGGCCAGAACGAGAGGCACAGGAAAGGGAACTCGAACGGCCAATTGGAGCCCTCGGCTCCACGACTGCCTCCGACAGAGACAGCAAGCCCCCAAGAGGCCTTCGAACAACCCGTGTATGCCCCCCTACGAGGCCCCCCCAGCCGCCCCTAAGATGCCCCATCCAAGATGCACCCATACTGGCTGCATGGGCCGACTGACGCAATGTTGGTATACGCTCAAAATGTGTTGTGAACTCACGCACGCACATGCTCCCCGCTCTCCCCACCGCCTTCCGCCCCCCCCCCCCCCCCCCCGTCAGCTGGAGCACTCTCCCAAGGAGGCGGATGAGGGAGCAGGAGGAAGAAAAAAGGATGTTGAGGAGGAGGCGGAGGAAGAAATATTAACTGCCCAATTGGTGACGAACGCACAACACACACCCATATCCATAGGAGGGACGGACGGGGCTATCGGTGCGTGTTGCCGAATGGGGTCCCCGCTCGAATGGGCGCCTCCACGAGGGTCCGACAACCCGCGCCCATACCCATGGCCAGTCCTCTTCCCTCCGAACCCCTATGGGTACGGGTGTGTCTTGTTCGTTCGCCAATTTGATAGACGAGCGCTCCATGGACTTGAAATTCGAGCGAGTGCCCTCATTTTTTTGCCTTGTCGCCGCTTCGTCTCCGCTCCATAGCCACGGGGCCTCAACCGCCGCCCCCGCAGCTAACCGGGTGCTGCGAGGGCTTTGGTTTTGGCCGCGCAGAGTCCGTGGGCCACGGTCAAATGATGAATGCCGCGCCACCTCCCCAGCGGCGCAGCGGCCAGAGCCAAAGGCCAGCGTTCAGAGACGACACTGCCCCTGAAGTTCATTGCACACCCTGCGACAGAGCTGTTTCGGCCCCCAAAGACACACCAGCAGGGACAAGCCACCCAGGCCCTGCACGGAGGTCAACCCACGCCTCGGCAACAGCCACATGCCTCCGAGTCAAGAGACGGAGGCGAGCTTCAAAGTTTTGCTGGGCCGCGCCAGGCAGGCTCAGCCTCGCGCGGTGGTGAGCACGCAAGAAAGCATCACACATGCAGGCACACAGCAACGACACATTCGGGGGAAGAGGATAGAGCTGAATCAGCGTGGGAATCCATGGAATCATCACAGGGGCAATTGGAAACGCAGCACCCATCAATTGGACACATAACTCGCGGAAGCGATGGGAGATTTTGTAATGACGTAGAACATCATAGTCCCGAGACATATCAAACCCATATTCCAGATGAGTACGCCCAAAGATACAGCCACGAGGATGAGAGTGGAAGCGAGCACCCGTACACACAGCACGCGCGCAGATACGAAGAACACACGTAGCAAGGCAAGGGGAAGTCGCAGCTGCGTTACATCGGTTTTGAAGGACAAGATGGAAACGACTACTGCAATCCACTTCAGGCAGCCACTTTCTCAGTCGATACTGAAGGCCTTCAAACGCCGTGGGTCCAGGTAGAGGACGGGCGCGGAGGCGGGCGTAGAGTTTTCGTTGGAAAGTATCAGGGGGGAGGCCGGAGAGCTGCACAATATTCTGGACACTCTGCGCCACCTCGAACATCTTAAGTAAAAACGACCTGCGATGCCATCCCCGTGGGTCGGCAACTCTGGCACAACATTTTGCGTTGTTCTCAGTGAGCTGCAACAGCTCGCCCCAGCACCCGCGAATGCCAGGGCGCTTCACAGCGAAACGGGCGCGGCAGGCACGCGAGAAAGCAACAATCTGTGGGCTCGATACTGAACCCGAGCTTCTGGAACGAGACAAGCATGTTATACGAGAACGCATTGTATGGGCCATTCGTAAGGCATTGTAACATGTGATCGTAAATATATGCATGACCTGTCTCGTGACTGGTTCAACTTGGAGGACAAACTGGAGTACAGAGAGGCACATTACCAAACAGGTAGAAACTGTCATCGAATATCCAGGGGCGAGCTGTCGGAGCATTGCACATACTGCAACGAATTTCGACAGCGGGACACCCCGTGCCATACCAGCAGCAGCTAGGCCAATATACAACCCCAAATACTTGATAGCAGAACTAACCCCCGCCAACTCCAAACTCCTTGCCCCCCTTGGACACCATCTCACTGACCTCCCCCTTCCGAACCCCCCCACGTATCAGAACAATGCACTTGCGAAAATTGAGCGCCAGCCCAATAGCTGACCCGAGGGCGAGAAGCATGCGCCACGCGGCAGTAGCCGAGCGAAGGACATCCACCATTCCAAACAAAACAGTCGTCAGCATATGCAAGGCACAGAGCAACATGGGCGGGGAGGGTCTGTTGCACCCATCGCCATACAGGATCAATGCAAAGACAGATGAGGGCCATAGAGCTAGGGCCGCCCTGGCGCACCCCCCTCTGGATAAGAAAGCTTCCGAATTTCTGCCCTCCAAGAATTACCGCGCCCGGGTTATTCTTGTAGGGCATGACATAGAAGTCAGTGATGAAGGATGAGACATTCATAGCATTGAACACGGCAAACATCCAAACATGCAGAAGCGACGGGAAAGCAGCGGAGAAATCAGTCGAGAGGATGGCAGCCGAGCCATGTGCGAGCAACTCTCGTTGCAGCCCCCAACTTTCTGCCTGCGCTACACTCGTGAGCATTTGTCTACCCTTCACACACTTCTGGAGTGGTGCGACAGTCACTTTAGAGAGCTCATTCCATGGGTGGCAGAACACATCAGGGAGGACCTTCCCATCGGTGTTCGACATGGAGAGCGGGCGCGTGCATGCTGCACCCCGAATAATGTCCCCTGGCCCGTCCCCCATCCTGCTCGCCCTCAAGTCGGAAAACCATCAGTAGTTCCCCCATATCGCCAGGCAGCTCTGAAACATTTCCATTGCCAATCTCAATATAAAAACTGCAAAGGTATCTCGGCGCATCTCCAATTCGCCAGCACGCATATGGGATACCGTCTGGTCCAGGCATCGATTTACGGCAGCGTCGTATATGTTCAAAAAATACCATATTCAACCCTCCAGGAAACCTCGAGGCCCTCGGGGGCCATCTGAACATGTTTCAGGATTCCCGCCCACCTGGAACGATCTTCCGTAGCTGGCGAAAAAAACACTTCCCCAATATTCAGCAAGCACGTTGGCCGACTGCTCGAGTGTAATACACGGGCTTCCGTTAGCGTCTAGTACGGCAGTGAGATGAGTTCGCCTTCGGAATTTCCTCCACAGCTCCATATTCCTCCATAGTTTTGCTACTGCAGCCTTCTTGGTATCATCGTTCATGCTGTTATCGTTCTCAATCTCACCCTCCTCCTCAGTTAAAATATTAACATCAATCTCCTGCGTCAATTCGCAGAGACCACGGCGGTCGTGCCAGGGCAGGGCCTCGCAGTCAAAGAACCTCTGAAGCTCGGGATAGCAACTGGCAGCCTTGCACACCATGTGGCCCTGCTGTGCATGTATCCCCGCCAGGGCTACCATGCACCAGTGATGCTTCAAAAAAATGTCGAGGCAACTTGATTGGAAAAGGGATGTCGCGCGCGCTCGATCACTGGGCGCATGATAGCCTTAACAGCCTTCAGAGCATCAGCGGCATTTAGTGAATGAAGCTCCACGGCTTTGTTGTTGAGCCCCGTGTCAAGTAGTTCTTGATAGACTTCGTTCTTGCCAATCCAGTTGGGGGCCCCGCTATTCACGCCAGCGGGGGGCTCGACAGTGTCAATTGCGACCAACGCTGGGATATGATCAGAGACACGGGCCTGACAGAGCTTACCTATAACTGAAACACGAATAATAAGGTCAGCCGCGACCGCCGCTGGAATGTTGGAGTAGATGCGGTCTAAACGCGCAGCGTGGGCAATGCCGCCGCCCCTCATCCCCCGACGGGTGTCATCTTCTTGAAAGAATTCAATCCGGTCCGAGCACTTCTGGTTAGAGAGCGCGTGGACACGCGTGCCACCTCGGGACCAGCCCGCCCCGCCAGGACACATCCCCCCTTCCCCCTTACAAGGTGGAATTCCAGCCCCCCAAGATAATTGAAACGCAAAAAAAAAACACTGCTCGGCAGGCGGTAAAACCTCAAGTAGCTCGTCAAGGCTGGATGCGCAGACTGCAAGCGACTCGCGCGCGTTCGGCACATGGGCGCTCGCGATAGCCAAGTTCCCTTTGTCCCCCAACATGACGCTCATTAGCATCCTGCCTTCCTGAATAACATGGCGTTGAATGGTGTGGAACTGCTGTGCAAGATCAGCAGCGATGAAAGAGACGAGCCCTCCAGCCCTGGTGGAGTCCTGAAACAAACTGCAATCTACATTCGCATGTCGAAATTCTTGTCGCATGCAGTTGGCGTCGGCGATAGTCCAGTGAGTCCCCTGAACGCACGCAATTTTGTGGCGCTTACAGAATCCGAGGAATTTCTTGCACCTAATCGAGGCGTTCATCCGACGACGGGTCCGCGCCGAGCCGAGGATACCAAATCCATTCCATGAAACGGTATCAAGCGAGGAGGCGGGGGGGAAAACGCTGCCGGTGCACTGCACGCTGGCCGCAGGGCCAGTCGGGAACAGTCAGAGGCGGCAACGGCTGCAAACAATGGGAATCGTCTGGCTGGCTAGCCAGATCGTGAACAGAGTCAGAAGAGCAGGAAGAAGAGGCGCTCGACGTGGACGAGGAGCATGAAGACGATGAGCATGTGATCTGCGAATTCGTGTTTGTGGCAATGTCCGCTGTCGCCCCCGCGCAGCGTGCCAACAAAAGAAGCTGGCGTCGGAGACCATCAGCGTGCACTGCCACACCCGTCAATCCACTGCTGCATCTGGTCTACGGGAATGCCCCAGAAGGCGACGTCGCTCTTGTTGGGCTTGAGCACCAGCCTGCCGAGCCCGTCCTGTTCACCTCTTGCCAAGATGAATAAGTCATCGGATGTGCGGATGGAGAACTTGTTGCGGAACCCGTTTGCGCCGATCTTGTAGTCGGCTTGGTACTTGTTGTTATTCTTCAAGAATTGAACGATCGGCGCCCATAAATGTGACATGCGTTTCTGTCGATGACGGGCGCCATGTGGGGGGTCGGTGCGAATGCGTAGAGCCTGACATGATCCGTCTCGAGCATCCTTCCATTTTAGCGCTGCTGGATGAACCATTATTTGAATTTCTTTGCCGTGTCCTCGTTCTTGAAGTGGATGGAGGAACTTTCACTCATTTTGCAAACTGCGCTGTGGTGCCGTCCATGAGGTGGCTCGGTGCTCCTTGCTGGAGCTGCTGCCAGGTCGTCTGTCTCGTGGCAACAAGAACAACGCGTGGATATCCACTCATCCACATTCTACATGAATCGCTGGTGTCTGTCCCAATTGCCATACCCACTCTAGCCCGCTTCGTCCTGTCTGTGCCAAGCGTGCTGGAGGCTGTGACTGATGCTGTCTTCATAGCTTCTTCTGGAGCCTGGATACGTATCTCCATCTGCTGTACTTTGATGTCGAGTGCAGCCATCCGTCCGTCCAATTGTTTGATCTGGCCCGTCAGCTGGCTGTTCGTGTCGGTGACCGTCTTCGTCAATGCAGCGAACTGTCCTGTGACGAAGGCCGAGAACCACTCAGGCGCGGCATCTCCCATGGTTGCGCGGGTGACTCTGAACTCACAACATGCGAGCGTGAGACTGGATGAGGTTGTGCCAAAAGGGCCTGCCCCAAAACCCTTGCGTCGAGGGCCGAGCCTGAAAACAGGCCCGAGCTGACCTGGCCAGTTGCCTCGATATATGGCCACTTGAGCCAACATGGTTACGGAAGCGAGTGCCCTCATTTTGAAACGAAGCTGCAGTTCATGTTTCTGGCTACGTGGACCGTGACGAGGTCCAACGAGAGCCAACGAGAGCCCTTTCAAACCGAGCCGCCCTCATCCCGTGCAAACTTTCTACAAACTGAAACGTCGATCCAAACAAAAAACGTCTCAACTGATAACCCCGATTGGAAAAAAACCCGCCCTCCATCCGTGTACTTACGCAATTCTAGCCCTTCCACTAGAAAGGGCGACGATGCATCGGCAATGCGGCGCGGCCCTCCGACCCTGGGAGGGTGAAGTGGGGCCCCGCCGAGGAGGAGGAGGAGGAGGACGACGACGACGAGGACGACGACGAGAACGACGAGGACGACGAGGACGAGGACGAGGCTGAGAAGGGCGAGGAGTCCCAAGGACCCGGACGCCGTTGAGGTCCGTGGCGGCGAGCGGCGCGGCGGGCGGCACGAAGCGCGCGGCGCACTCGCCCAGCCCGGGGGGCCCGGGGCCCGCAGCGGCCCCAGGGGCGCGGAGCCACGCAATGGCCGCCGCGGCGATTCCGTC